CCCCGTCAACAGTCGTCTATGTGCTGTCCGGCTAAACGGCTCCGTAAGAACTCGGAAGGATAGGGACACACGTCGTTGCCTTTTTGTCGTTTCTGCCTACGCTCCCACTGACTGCAGCTCAGATGAAGTGAAGGATGAATTTTACAGAAAGCTTTCTGAACTTCTTCAGAAAGCTAAACGCTCAGACATAGTACTCGTAGGGGGTGACTTTAATGCCCAGATACGTAGTTTAAACCAAACGGAAAGACATTTAGGTGGGTATTTTAGTATACCGGCACAACGAACAGATAATGGTGATCGTCTGCTGCAACTGTGCTCAGACAATCGTTTATTTTTAGCAAACACAAATTTTAAGCATGAGGAGAGACATCGTCTAACATGGCGACCCTCTACACCAAACCAACAATGGACTCAAGTAGACCATATTGCCATCAGTCATCGTTGGAGAGGGTCGGTAGAAGATTGTCGCTCATTCTGGAGTACCTGCTTGGACTCCGACCACGCCCTAATACGGGCACGCATCTGCTTGCGCCTCACTGAACGCAAAAAAGTCACATTAAAAAGACCCATTAGAACTGAAATGAGTAACGAGAAAACCAAAAGTAAGTTCCAGGAACAACTGAGGTCACAATTAGGTAGTTCTGAAAACGAGGCTGACCCAGATGTTGCTTGGAAAGATATAAAAACAGCAATGAAATCTATTAGTGACTTAACCCACAGAGTTACAAAGAACCAGTGGATTTCTTCAAAGTCTATCACACTGATGGATTCTCGCAAACTCGTCCCATCAGGTTCCGAACATGATGAAGAGCGACAACAAATCAGATCTAGGTTAAGAAAAAGTCTAAGAAACGACCGTGAGCAGTGGTGGGCAACGAAAGAAAAAGAGATGGAAAAGGCGGCGACTATAGGGAACACAAGACAGCTCTACAGACTAATAAAAGAAACTGGAATTAATAAGTCAAGTGTAAGTGAGATTATTTCGGAAAAAGACGATACTCTAATCTATTCCCAGTCCATACGTTTAGAACGATGGGCGGAACACTTTAGGGAACAGTTCAGCTGGCCTTCAGCTACTCTACAACTACCCTCCATTCCCAGACAGCGTGAATGGAACATTGAAGTAGGTCCCCCAACTCTTGCTGAAGTTCATAAGGCTATAGATAATCTGAAACGAGGAAGCGCTGCTGGTCCAGATGGACTGGTTCCAGAAGTCTTTAAGGATGGTGGTCCAATTTTAGCGGTTAGGTTGACTAATATTTTAGCTAAGATCTGGGAGTTAGATGTTATTCCATCTGACTGGTCACAATCACTTATCGTCCCAATATATAAGAAGGTTAAAATCATCCCGTGACAACCATAGAGGGATTAGTTTAACTAATATAATATCTAAAATACTAGCCTCAATAATAATCAGACGCCTAACTAAAACTCGTGAACTGCAAACACGAGAAAACCAATCTGGCTTCAGACCTGGTCGTGGCTGCATCGACCACATATTCACCATTCGTCAGGTTCTAGAACACAGGCATACTTATCGACGTCCGACAATGGTGGTCTTTCTTGACTTAAAAGCAGCATTTGACTCGGTAGACCGCGAGATTCTGTGGCAGTGTCTGTCATTGAAAGGCGTACCCTAGAAGTACATAAACCTTGTAAAGGCTCTTTACTTGAACACTACTAGTCGAGTGAGAGCTTATGGCGAACTGTCATCTAGTTTTGCAACCTCAAGTGGTGTCCGTCAAGGATGTCCACTTTCCCCCATTTTTGTTTAACTTCATCATAGATCTACTGATGGAAATAACTTTCTCGTCGACTGAGTTCTCGGGTATTGATCTCCTACCAGGAGATCCACTTATCGACTTAGAATACGCAGATGACATAGTCCTGTTTGGTGAAGACGCTGACATAATGCAGAGTCTTCTGATAGCACTGAGCAACAATGCCAGGATGTTTGGAATGCGCTTTTCTCCCTCTAAATGCAAGTTGTTGCTTCAGGAATGGTCTGCGTTAACACCTGAACTAAGGATAGGGAGTGAAGTAGTCGAACGCGTCGACAACTTCACTTATCTTGGAAGTCTGATCAGCCCTAATGGGTTGGTATCGGACGAAATCTCAGCACGGATTCGAAAAGTTCGTTTGGCTTTTGCCAACTTACGTCACCTGTGGCGAAGGCGAGATATCCGTCTATCAATAAAAGGACGAGTATACTGCTAGGCAGTCCGTTCTGTTTTAATTTACGGCAGCGAAACATGGCCATTAAGAGTAGAAGACACCCGTAAACTACTAGTATTTGACCACAGATGCCTAAGAAATATTGCTGGCATCTGCTGGGATAACCGGGTAAGTAATAGTGAGGTTAGACGCACGGTATTAGGAAAGGATGGTAAATCAGTTGATGAGGTTATGAATCTTCATCGACTGAGATGGTTGGGCCACGTGTTACGTATGCCTGAACACCGATTACCACGACGTGCAATACTATCCGGTGTTGGGGATGGTTGGAAGAAAGTTAGGGGCGGCCAAACCAAAACGTGGCATCAGTGCTTGAAGTCACTAACTTCTAGTCTGAGCCATGTTGGTAGATGCAGACTACTTGGTTGGGGTCCGCGTGACTATCGTAACCAATGGTTGGAGACTCTTGGTGACATGGCTCAGAATCGATCACAATGGCGTCGGTGTATACACTCCCTGTCTTCACTTAAACTATGAGATTATTTATTTTATTTATTTATTTATTTGAACACATAAATATTGGTACAAGAGAGCGCCAATATATATGCGCCACACAAAGCAATGAAAATTCGGAGATAGAAAAAAAACTAAGGAGCACAAAAGAAAAAGAGAACGATAACGAAGAGATTGGTGTAAGGTAGTGTGGTCGTAACGATGGAACGGAAAGGTACAATCAGAAGAAATCTTTCAAGTAAGGGAGACACAACCACTTTTTATGAAGAAAGTAAAAGAAGGTTACAGCAGGATCGCCTCTGGCTTCTATTCTGAGCCACATCTGATAACGTCTCTAGCCACTGTGTAGCACCATCTCTCAGACCCCAACCAGGGAGTCGTGAAGGACCGACAGAAGCCAGTCCTTTGCAGCTTTCTTTCATACCACGACACCATGTCATGCACTGACCACCTCTCCGCTTTTTCCAACCAGTCCCAGAGTCGGCAAATAATGCACGACGTGGAAATATCTGGGACGACATTCGTAGAACATGTCCAAGCCACCGAACTCGGTGTTTCAAGATGGTGACACCAATTGAATTATCATCTCTGTGCCCAAACACACGATGCCGAACCTCTGCATTACTGACATGGTGTTGCCACTGAATGTCAGCAATCCTTCGGAGACAGCGATGATCGAACACAGAGTCGTCTAACGTCCTCAACTCGGAGAGGCCAGGTTTCACAAGCATAGAGCAAAACTGCTCTCACCGACGCGTTGTAGATCCGACCTTTTACGGCCAGACTGACACCACGAAGGCGCCAAAGGTGGCCCAGATTGGCATAAGCCGCTCTGGCTTTCACTATACGTGCATTGATTTCATCACTCACACCCCCACCAGCACTTATGCAGCTACCCAGATACACGAACTTCTCGACTACGTCTATCTGCTCACCATCCAGGGTGAGTACAGGATTGGAATCCTGCCAGTCTTGTAGAAGTACTTTGCACTTCGAAGGTCCACATTAAACTATGAGATTAAAATCGCTTCATATCTTTCTTTCTACGAACCAATTCTTTCTGCTTGTACTATATCTCTATATGCAATCTTTCTCTTATATATTACCACCTTATACCTAACCACTGTTATGAATCTGGTGTTCATCTTGTTGTGTTGATGCGGTATGGCAACCTGGACCGATGCACATATGTGCCTGGTCCTACGTTGTAGCTGACTGACTGACTGACTGACTGACTGGTGAATCAGTTGAAGTTGTGAATCTTTATCGAATGAGATGGTTAGGCCGTGTTACGTATGCCTGAATACCGATTACCACGACGCAAAATGCTGACCGATGTTGTGAATGATTTGAAGAAAGTTAGGGGCGGCCAAACCAAAACGTGGCATCAGTCCTTCAAGTCACTAACTTCTGGTCTGGGCCATGTTGGTAGATGCAGACTATTTGGTTGAGGTCCACGCGACTCCGGGTGAAATAACTCAGAACCTATCACAATGGCGTAAGTGTATACACTCTCTATCTCCCCTCAGATCGTGACATTAAAAATTGCCTTGTACCTTTATTTCTACGAACTTATTATTTCTTTCTGTATCATACCCTTATACAATTTTTTAAATATCACTACCATTGAAGCAACTACTTTCATGAATTTGGTGTTCATCTTGTGTTAATTAGGTGTGTCAACGTGGACCGATGCATATATGTTCTTGGCCCTATGTTGTAGCTGACTGATTGACATCCAGAACAGCTTATATCAAATTGGAGTTACAGTTAGCTTCGTCGCAACTTTATTTCAGCAACTGACGAGGGTTCCTCTGCACTGATTTTGTGAAACTGAATATTCTAGAATCATAGATTTCCGATGAACTTCAGATTACCAAACAGTTGCAATATATCTTATAATCTTGATTAAATAAGTGCTACCATCGGTTTTTGCGGGCTAGACAGTTAGACTCTCATATGGTGCATTGTTTGGTGTTGTAACGGTGTTGCAAGGGGAAGTGAATAGTTTATACAGCCATGAAATGGCATACAGCTGTCTTGGCTTGATATTTACTGATTCTCTATAATTCACAGTGCAGAAACGATATTGTGAATTATGTTTTGGTCCTCCAGTGCATTAAGTACTTTCCATAGTATACAGAAGTTAGAACAACTGAGTTAATATCAGTATAAACAATACTACTAGTACAAATAAAAAGTATCTTATTGATGAATTAACTTTAAGTTCAGATAACAATAGAGACATTTAGAATGAATTTATCAAGAAAAAAAGTGACATAAATGAGAAAATGTGCAAGATAATAACTTACAAGTTATATTTCAGATTATCATCCAGTTCCATTAAAGCTGCTTGATTACCACATCGATAACAATAATTTGGAGCACTAAATATAGTGACAACATTTCGATCATGACACCAGTTAAAGCCTTCCATAACTAACTGATGTGCTCGACTGACTAAAGTTAAGTTATTACTGTGATTAAACGTTTCTGAAATATCCTGTCCAAATGTATAACCAGCACCACGTGGACTGATGCCCCAACCACCTCTGTCATCTGGATCAGACCATAATAAGTCACACATTGGACCCTGAACAAAATTATATACACAAACGAATAATCTATTGATTTGAACTATTAGATTTGCATACATTTATATATACAATAAACTGCAACACACATTCAGAACAGTTTGACCTCCATTCGACAAACGTAGAACAGAAAGATAAACAAACACCTTTTTCAGTATTAAAACCCAAAGAACAAGTAAAGAAAGAGATTACAGTAGGTTGGTGGGCATTAGATTCTTGAAAACCAATCGAAAAACGTAAACGTCTTGACCAACTGGAGATCGATTTAAAACGAAAATAGCTTGAAGGTCCACGTAATGGTGAATAATGAGGATACTGGAAACAAGGTCTAAAAATTAAGCCCAGGGTTCATGTGGGTTGAGATAGTCTTGTGACTTGTTATCAAATGTTGCAGGGATACTAAATCAATCTCAGTTAGTACATGAACTATGAGGCTAGTTTTTAGGTAGAAAAGTCGAAAAATTACAAAGCCGAAACTGAGCAATGAGCTCTCTGGGTTACAAAGGCATATTAAGATGAAGTTACTAGCAAATACTAGGAATTTCAGATTACTTTAACAACTAAGTCTCAAGCATTATTATTAGATTAGTCTAAACTGAAGTGTATACTATAGTAGGAGAATGCCTTAACACTCAATTGTCTACTTATAGCTACAAAACCTAATAACTCCAACATTACTGATTTTCAACTTAGTTTTAGACAATGGATGAGTATACCATGACGATAGGCTTACTCATCATGAATATAGGCGACTTGTTTAAGTCCTCCGTGATTCCGAATGACATTCTGCAGACAACTTGAAAACTAACCTCTTAATGTGTTTATCAACCTGTAATGTGCAATATCTATCCTAGTTGGAACATATATAGTTGGTAAAAATGACCATAACTAGTTTAATATTTAGAAGTTTGATGCAGAAATTTAACGTCAGGTAATTTAATATAGATCTGCGTACCCCACTAAGCTAGCAACAATAAACCAGTGAATAAAGGGAAGAATGGACTTGTGCCCTACTATGTTATCAGTGAGCACTTGAAAAATCAAGTGGATCTCGAAATGACTTAGTTTTCACTGACCCATTATTTGGTTTTTAATTTATGTTTGACCCCACCTAATTTAAAGATTGGTATTGTTTTGATTTTACATTTTCACGACGAATACTACGGATCCAGGTGTTTAAGCCCACACCTTAGAGTACAATATTTGTTGAGTTGGGAGTAGGGAGAGCAGGACAGTGGAAAATAACGGCACCAACCAGCTGGTAAAACTGATATAATTGAAGCACCGTTGTAAGCGATGACCCACTGTTTGAAATCTAAGAACTCTCACATAAATGTCCCCAAATGCCCTGGTACGGCCGAGAGTGGGGTGAGTCCGCTCCCTTTTCGAAATGCTTTCACATGGCCACGCGTATATAGCCTCTGCCAGGGAAGTTCTACTCACTGCCTTCTCGTGGCGGCGGTGTTGTTTACAAAAATGAGAGGACAAAAAGCGAATGTCCGGCGCTTTAACCGGATTCCAAATCAATGGTGCACATGGGCTCCAGTATCCTGCGGGAACAAATGGCGTATGAACCAATCGTTGGTCACCGGCTACCATGGGACTGAATCTCCTTACGATGCTACACTGCCTTGTGGATCAGACCTTCAGGTCGAAGGCTCGGGGAGTGGCCCCCTAAGGAAACCATCTGCTTCGGTTTGGTCACCCGGGTAGTATCACAGCCCTCACACATATTGAATGAGATTTGTGTGGCGCATATGTATTTGGTGCCTCCTTGTACCAATATCTATGTGTAAATAAAAAAATAAACATAAATGCGGACGTAACAATTTGTAGGCCTGTATCATCAGCATGGTGAGACTATAAACCATGGAGGATCTTTGAGGCACGTCGAAGTGACCTTGTGAGTGTCCATCTTCTCACTAGGGCTAAATCGGGGTTATAAAAGTGTGAGGAATTAGAATTATGATTCATAGTTGATGGTTAGGGTTACGGAATGGATGTATAGCTTTTCATCATGAACTGATATCAGCTAAAGTGCCATGACGTCACTGACATGTGCACTGGGCCATCTTGGTAGGTGTAGACTAACTTGTTGGGATCCGTAGGCCTATAGCAACCGATAATTAGAGACTTTAAATGACATGGTCCGAAATTGTGTGCAATGGCGCACGCGCAGGTCCGAAGTCCTAGGTTGTTACTGACTGACTGTCAAAACGCTGTTAAGTCAAATGGTTGAATGCATTTAGCGCCAAAACCCGAGACCTGTTATCCCAAATGTTTGTTTCCACATAAATTATAGTCTAACCGCTCTCGTGAAAAGAAAGAAAAGCAAAATAAAAGTGGGAATAGCAACTGACCTCATGGGGGACCTCTTGAATCCTGTCCAAAGCCCTAATGTGATCGAGAGTATCTATCGAGGGTGACAGCCCGCCATGTAAGCAAAATATCTAACAGTAATAATGTAGTGTTTGGCTTACTGAATTGTCAACCAGTGCAGTTAGTGGGAGATAATCAAACAAGTCCGTGAAGTATTTCCAAACATTAGCATTACCATATTTGCGAAGGCACTCGTCATAAAATCCATAAACTTGTGTGATTTGACGACTTTCGTGGTTTCCCCGGAGAATAGTTATTCGGTCTTTGAATCTAACCTGAAAAGGTGTGATAACATAATATTATAAAACCTTCATGGCCACGAGTAAAGTGACAGTTTCAACAGAATAGTATCCACGGTCAACATAATCACCCATGAATAAGTAATTGGTATTCGGAGACTTTCCACCAATGCGAAATAATTCCATCATATCATGGAACTGACCATGTACATCACCACAGACAGTGACTGGGCTTCGTACATTTTGAACATTTGACTCCTTTGTGAGTATATCCTTAGCCTACAACAATCGATGACTACACAGCCCTACATACTTTTTCACAAAGGGATTTAACTTGTGCTTCTGTCAGCTGATTACATTCATAAAGTTGCTCAATCCACTGGTCAAGTTCCTTGGCCTCAGCTCGAAAGTCACCCGCCATCACCTCAACAAAAATATATAATGACCGCGGTAAGACGTAATTTCAAACAACTGTACATCTCTTTCAAAACATGGTTAGGTAAAACTCACTTTACCTAATATCTATAATTGTGATGGGAATAAGTGAAAATCGGATGGTTTCTTGATTCATGGGTCTTGGTAGAGTTCAAATAGTGTAGCTTGTCCACGAAAATGACAACACACTGTGAATTCTACAATTGTTTGGGTGCTGGCATATCTTGAGTTTTAATGAATGCGTCTATTTTTAAGTCATTGGGTTTGTCAAATCAACAGCCTCACGTCAGAAGAGTGACTAGTCCTAAAGTGAAATATTCGAGATTATAGTGTCAAGTTAACAGAAGACAACGGTGAACTATCAAATTTAAAGTACATTTCTGGCTATATGTCACTGGCACTTTGAAAAAATTTTAAACAGTTCGTTCGACCTTATGTGGACCATTGAAATGTTGTGTTTCCTCTTTCAGTTCAAAAAGACACGAACCCTCTGAACCATATCCAAATACGAAGCGATAAATCATTCATTTGATTGAAGCTTAGCTTTCACAGACGACTTCATGAAATATTGAAACTTCGCTATCAGGAATGTAGTTTGCTTGCGAAAAATGTTGTAATAACTAAAGGCATCCTAAGCAGACCCAGGGATCCTCTGAAACACGTACTTGTTTTCTGTTTTAACAGAAACACACTGGAGAATGTTAGGAAATAAGAGACACATCGTCAATAAACGGATCGAATATATACCTTTAGTTCTTCAGGGTTAGTTGATAATTGGAATTCCCAACATGTAGAAATGATAGAAGCACTTTTTCAATAGCCTTTTTAGAGGAAACGTGATGTATTCAAAAGGACACTTAACTGGATCTCATAATATTTGACTGATGCATTTCTATTTTAAAACATTTCACGACAACATAAGTTATCTATTTTACGTATGCAGAGGAGAATAAATACCAAGAATGGATGATTTCGCAGCTTTTAGACACTGATGCTGACCTCATTAATTTTACAGAGCATATCTCTACCGAGGGAGTTCAGTCATACACCTGCACTAGATCACGAGTGGGTATTATGTACTGTGCGTCTCTTGGAACTACTAATCATCATAGATCAAACGCTTATCAGAATATCGACAACCTCGCGAATATATCATTGAAATAATTCATTTCTAATTTTTGTCTTGACTGGGTCGGTACCCCAACATATAGATGTTACAAACAAATGCGTTATCAAACCCCGAATATCTGTGATGTCTTCAAGTATTTATTTTCTCTACTACTCTAGGGTCTTTTGTAACTGCAGTTAAATTTATTTGGTGATCTTCATGTGTTACTGCGATGTGTTATCACATCTCATGGATTATGCACTCGCCGGCAAACATTGCATGGCATGAAGGATTTAATCGTGAGCTAAAAATGTGTCAACATATTACTCCTTATTCTCTTCCAGCCAATATTGACGATGAATGATCAAAAACATTTTTTGAATAGCATCTTATATATTAATTTCATAAATCGCGTTAGTTGATGACATAATAACACAAGTCGGAAACCTGGAAACTGAAAATAATACTCCTTGATACCACTAATATAGATAAAAATTACCAACAAATAGAGAGGAAGAAAGCATTTTGAGTGACTAAGATGAACAGGCACATAACTAAAAAGACTAGGAACAAAGTGGAAATATACTTCTAAGATCTTAATTACTCATAAAAAGCTTAGCGATAAATAAATCCCCAAAATAAACAGCTCTGTAAGTCTTCTACATTGGATGCTGGTCACACTAGTTTCAATGGGCTCATCTGGCTAGGGGCGCTCGGCCATGCATCCGCACCAGGTCACGAGAGAGAACGTCGTGCTCAACATCCCCTGAAAGCTAGCCAGCCTAGAAACAATGGACAACCGTTTCGTCCTACTGTGTTACTCCCAAGGAGAGCGCATGCACGATCTCGCCTTGCGAGACTCAAACTCAACACTTATCGGTCTCGCGCGCAAACGCTCATCCTCTAAACCACTGAGTCGACATCCGATGGTTTTAGTGTCTAAATTCAACTAATCCACAAAAATAACTATAATATCCACAAAACCCCTCCTGATATTCATCTTTTGTTTGTATACTAACAGTGTCAACATATGTTATAGTAATAGATAAAGTTTAACAAGCCAAATAACTAGGTGGTTCTGACCTCGGCTAATCGAAGATTCTGGGGAACATCTTAGAATTTGGGCTTAAAGAAATTATATCCTGCATCTACTCAATGCAACATGAGATTGAGATCTCTTTCGCCTTTTGTGTGATAGCTTATTTGTAGTATAACTTTTCGAGTTCAAATCGTATTATCAAATAATAGATATTGATGATCATAAATTTATGTGGATTACTAGTTGCACTCTATTATATCACAAATTTATATTCTGATTTCGCAACCTGAATATCTTAAGAGAAATGATAATATCCGAGGGCAGAAATTTTCATTAGAAATCTGGAGACAGTTACAATTGGTGTTATGCCCCGTCGATTCGTATGTCATAATGAAACCCTACTTGTTCTTTTGTCTTATATGATCGATCGTTAATTTCATTGGGGGAACTGGCGACAATTCATGTGTTAAATTGTTTGTAGACAGATGCGATGTCGTTACATTGTTACTGCTCGTAAAGACGTTACCCTGTAAATTACTTTATTACAAATCTCTATGCTACATAAACTTTGTTGTCAAACAGTGAGCATCCTAAGAATAATATTAAGAGAGCCATTCGGATCATATTTTACATGTATTTTGTCAGACTCACGTATGATGGCATCGAAAATAACTTATAGTCTCTAATACTAAGCTGTGTTCACACGATTTATCCTGGCTTCAAAACAGACGAACTGTTTTAATTTCATTTATTACAACCCAGATACCTTTTTTCTCAGTATTCTTGCACACTACTTCACTCGACAAGTTCCCAAATCGGAACACAGTTGAACAGGAACGTAAGTGTATTCCATACAAAAGAATGGATGGAAGTAGGAATCACAATAAGAAAATTATTAGTATATTTATGGTTTCTACGTATGAAGATTCTCGAGTCTTCTTAATCTGCCCACTAGTGCTGATTGGATAGGTAATAGACAATCAATGTGCCTCAACATAATCCTGTAAGGAAGTGAATAAATTCAATCTACATCCAGCCAACACAAACTGCTTTATTCTTTTTGAGACATTACTCACACAGATTCAGACCATGTTAGGTATTCGCTTATAACTTTGTGTTTAGATGGACGCATATGTGTGACGCTTTTGAAGAAAGATTTGGCCCTAAGTTTAAGTATCTTGCTGGGCACTAGCTAGTCATTATTCAGAAACCACACTGAAATAATTGTGTTACTAAACGTAATTGTAACTTTTAATCGTTATTCATATAAAGGTTCCTGCGCTGAAGTTTCCTAATACTACGTGCCTGTATACCACACAAAAAACTACTACAGATATAACGAATGCGCCAGAGCTGCACACCTTGCAGCATAGAGACCATCCAGAGGAAAACATTAATACAACGGCAAAGCTCGTAAGGCAATCTTCTACTTCACGCCATGATTAGTCAACAGTTTCATTCACATACAAGACGCCTTGCCAGATGAAAATCAAGAATATTGTTCTCTCTGTTGGCTTTTCCTGAGGAGTTGCTGACGTAAAGAGAAAATTTTAATATGTAACAGTTTACAGAGTGGCTGTTAAATGATGAAGTATGAGAACGAGTGAAAGAGGAGGAGTGAAAGGCGGTTGTAGACGCCTCATTGACCGCTTAACAGAAAGAATTGATCCTACATATTTGTAGGACACCAAAGACATCAGGCCGGACTGGTGCTAAGCACATCAACAACTGCCGAGGTATTCCACTGAATCACTACAACAATAAACACTGGATGACACATGGACCTAAGACGATATCTATTTCATGCTCCTAAGCTGGCCACACAAACAACAAACTCAGCACCTGGCAACTATGCCAAATCACCTCTAGGCGAGTCTACTTTTTTCATTCCATTTTCAATACTAACCGGCATTGTGTAAATATGATTAGCGAATTGCTTTTTGTTATTATTTCCACCGATGGGGAACTAGTTGAAGGACTAATTGAAGTATAGGCGGACTTCACTCTTTCCTTCATTTGTGTTATCAGGCAGTCGTTTGCAAGACTGATGACAAACGTCGCTTTCCAAACAGCCTCAAGCGCTCTTATGAAAACATCAGGGCTATTGACGTTTTGTAGAAAAGAAAAGCAAATAAACTTCAAGGAATCATTCAATTTGTTCAGAAAGATTCAGGCCTGAAGGTGTGCACGATTTGTTGTTTTCAGAAGCACCTGCAGGGAACATCTTTACCGTCTAGAGCTAGTACTTCAGTTTATTATGGGCAACCTACCGAGTAAGAAAATAGATTGTTATGGTCACATAATCGATCTTGACGGTGTTTGTGGTGAATTTAAAAATGTGGCTGCCATAAATAATCGGCCTGCACTAATCTTACCTGAAGTACGCAGTTTTCGCAGTTTAACGGATTACTACAGTCGTTTAGCAAAGAACTATGCAGAAACGGATTGTCTCCTTATGTGTTTGACGGAGAAAAATATAGAATCTGAGTGTTCGAATATTCGCAACAACCCATTCGATGCTCTGAAAGATACAATTTATTCAGCACCTGTATTAAAACTGCCAAACATCGGCAAATTCCGGTAAGTAAAAATGCAAGCGTAATAGGAACTGGAGTCGCATTGTCCCAGATGGGACCCGATGGCAAATAGAATGTTATTGAGTATGGAAGTCAAATGTTAAACTACCTTGAAAAGAAGTACCATGTTACATTGAAACAAATGTTGGCAGTTCTGTAATTCATACCAAAGTACAGATATTACCTTTATGTCGGACACTTCAAACTAAAAAAGCTTTCCAGTCGTTAGAGATTTCCAAAGACTCGTAGGTGAATACGGAGCGTTGACTAGAAAATCCGCACAAATTTGATTTTGAGTGCATCCATCGACGAAGGCGGTACCATAAAAATGCGAACCCTCTACATAACGACCAATTAGACCTAACGCAGTCTGCCTTTCGTACAACGTATTTCATATGCATTCCATATTTCTAGCGGTGCTTGACAATATTCAGTGGGCACATATCTAAAGTTCAGAAGATGCAGCATCCCTACTGTATCAAACTCAGCGACAACGAGTAAAGGCCTCCTGAACTGGAATTCAAATGAAAAAGTTTCGAAACGAAGTGTTTGTGAGTGTTACACGACCAGCTATCATTAGTCGAAAGAGTCTTATGTGTTCAAACAAAATATGCCCAACGCATAGTAGTCCCACAATCAATGGGCACAGTAATGTTATAAAACGTCCACGTGGATCTTGGACATGCTGAAAAAATAAAGATAATAATAACAATAGTTTATTCTCAAACAACAGTTTGTTACATGAGGCATGCCAGTTTACAGGCAACATCAAATTGTTACAAATGATACAATTTCCACTGTAGTAAATAACTCGACAGGGTTGATAATTTATACGATATGAAATGTAAATTGTTATGGTCAGTACAACAGTTGGCGCGCTTCATGAAAGTGGCGTTGCGACATGCAACCGATGGTCAAAGATAAATCTATTGAAAGTGGGAGCTTCTAGAAATCGCAACTTTATATCACTATGGAAAATCCGAGGCTTTAAGGATGGTGCAGCATGAAGTCACCCGTGCCATATCTCAAGGGGGCTGTAAAAGGGAGCTAGCAAAATAAATGACGTGAGCCAGAGCAGTCAATGTTCATGAAAGAAAATTTAAGGTATAGCTACTCAGTCTAATTCTATTTTATTATAGTATTTACTAAGCAGGATCATTCTAATAGGTTAAAGAAGACAAGTGTGGGAAATGTATGAGTGAATAAACAGCTGACAAACGAAGGTGGTTTAGAAAGGAGCTGAGTGTGGCATCATGTGTAGTTCTAAAAACAGTATTGTGATATACTGTTGGCTATCTTCCTTTTTTAAAAGCTATTGGAGCCATTTTATATAAGTTTTTTAATTGTTTTTATTGGGTCTTCTGTAGGCTTCGTATTTTAGTGAATTGTCTAGTTTGCTTGTAATAGGATTACTGGGTAGGAAGTAAACCAATTCAACGTTCCAAACACGATTTAATGAGGTTTTCTGCATGATAAATCAGCATCAATACATCCCACTAGACCATAAGGAGCCGTAATGAAACAAAATGTTCAGGCATGTGGATTAGATATTGGTGGTCGTATCACAAGCGAGACGTTCAAGATTTTCTAAATAGTTGACAGGTCTGCAGTCGCTAAAACACGCAGCTAGGAAAGAGTGTGTACTGTTAATTAATATAAAGCCTGAATTCTCCAATGAAATCCAGGGGGTTGGTATTGAGGATGATACAGGTATTCAGTGTTTGACAACGCTTCTACCAGTAACACCTTCTAATATGCTTTGTTCCCACCGAGAGAAATCAAAAGACAGAGTCGAGGAGATCGGAAGAGTGTATTTGGCGATAACCAATATATCGGGAATCTCTGATCTAATCTGGCTAGTGATTGCGGTTGATGTTGAGCACAGCGTGACAGCACGTGATCTGGTGCGGATGCATGACCGAGCGCCTTCAGCTAGATGAGTCCACTAAAACATATGGTCAGCATCCAATGTCGAAAACCTACAGAGCTATTTAGTTTGGGGATTTAGTTACCGCTACAGATCACTCCCCCCTAGTGGGGCAGTGATGACCCTAAGACGTGGCCAGCCAGAAGTTTAAACCCAACGAGTTTGTCGTTGGTAAACACTTTTCTGATAGCTTACTGAATTTATCAGCGTCTGGCCGTCTTTCCTTACTATATGGGACCGGGGGTACAACATAGTAAAAAAAGAAAATGTACAATGAACATTTCGGATCCTCATAAACGTCATCGTTGTTTTCCAGCCGTCCTGGAAAAGAAGAAAGAAAATGTAAGTGCATGTCGAAAATACACTCGTATGTGCGTAAAAAAGGAAAAATAAACTCATGAACACGTAACAGCGTTAAAAAAATCGTTTTCTTTTTTTTTTGAAATAGAAATGAAAATATATAAGCCCATTAAAAAAAATTTACTTTTTTAATAATATAGAAAATGTCGAGAAGTGCCTTACGTGCAATAGTCGTTTAAATGTTCTGGAAATCTCACTCTTCTTCCAGAACGCGTCGTTTTAAGTTTATTTTCGGATACTGTCGAAATATCATCGTGTTTGTTGGTTGTCTGATGAGGCATTATACGTGTCGGAGTCGTGTTGTTCAATTGTACCGAAGGAAAATCCACGTAGATAGGATTTCCTTCTAAATACGCTACTTTGAGGCGATCGATGCTGATGCTATCGTTGGTACCGTTCTTATCGATTATATAGTACTTCGGTTCGCGTTGAAGAACTTTGAAAGGTCCTTCGTATGTCGATTCGAAAGGTCGTCGATGCGAGTCTCGACGAACGAAAACGTGTGTACTATATCGTAAGTCAGGTTGAACGAAAACATAGGTTGACTGTGGTCGAGTGGAAGCAGGTTTAACTGAACGCATAGCGTTTGTAAGCCTGTTCGTGTAGGAGGTTAGATCCATGCTCATTGAAGAGGATGAAGGATCCACGAATTCTCCTAGAAGTCGAAGTGTCGTTCCATAAACGAGTTGACCTGCGGTGTATCCAATGTCAGCTTTCACTGCATTGCGGATACCTAGTAAGACGAGTGGAAGAGCGTCGGTCCACTGTGAAACGTTTGCAGCTGATAGTGAAGCTTTTAGTTGTCGGTGAAAGCGTTCTACCAACCCGTTTGCTTGTGGGTGGTAGGCGGTCGTTCGGAAGCGAGTGCTTCCTAATAGTGTGGTCAGACGACGGAAAAGTTCAGACTCAAACTGACGTCCGCGGTCTGTAGTGATGGTTGAAGGGCAACCGAAGTTTGCTACCCATCGTTCGACGAAGGTGCGGGCCACTGTTTCAGCAGTGATGTCCTTGATAGGTACTGCTTCTGGCCATCGGGTGAAACGATCTACACAGGTTAAGAGGTAAGAGTATCCATTTGAATCTGGTAAAGGTCCTACCAAATCCATATGAACATGGTCGAAACGAGCATCGGGAGTTTTAAATGAGCCTAAGGGACATTTATTGTGTCTGATGACCTTAGATTTTTGGCAGCTTACACAGGAGCGTGCCCACTCCCTCACGTCTTTATTCATACCAGGCCAGCAAAACCGTTCTGCTATTAGCTTGATGGTTGCACGAACACCTGGATGAGAAAGTTTGTGCAATGTGTTGAAGACATTGCGTCGATAATGTTTCGGGAAGATTGGGCGATCTCTACCTGTAGATGTGTCACAAAGTAAGGTTTCCTTACCTGTTCCCATCTGTTTGATGCGTAGTTTAAGGGTTGTGGACGATAACTCTTGCTGAAGATCAGTGTCTTTTTTTTGAAGCTGGGCGAGTTTAAGAAGGTCGATTACTTGGAAACTGTTCAAGGAATTTATTCGAGACAAGGCGTCTGCAACTACATTGTTTGCTCCAGAAATATGTTGAATATCTGAAGTAAACTGCGAAATGTAGTCCAGTTGTCGAGACTCACGGGGAGAGTACTTGTCTGAAGAGTAGCTTAACGAGAAAGTGAGCGGTTTATGGTCAGTGAATAGAGTGAATTCACGGCCTTCGATATAGTGTTGAAAATGCCATACAGCACAATACATAGCTAGGAGTTCCCTACCGAATGTGCTGTATCTCGATTCGGTGTCTAGCAACCGTCTAGAGAAAAATGCCAAGGGTTGCCAGGATTTGTTAACCCATTGTTGTAAGACTCTTCCGATTGCCGAGTTGGATGCGTCTACTGCGATACTAATGGGTGCTTCAGTGTCCTGATGTGCGAGCATTGTTGCTTTAGCGATCAGTTCCTTAACTGTGGAGAATGCTTTTAGTGCGGTGTCGTCCAAATTAATGGATTTCGCATTTCCACGAAGTTGGTCAGTAAGAGGTTTCATAAGTAATGCGCATTTCGGTATGAAGCGTCTATAGAAACTTACCAGGTCGTTAAACGTGCGTAATTGCTTGACGTTGGTCGGTTCTGGGTAATCCAGAATGGCCGCCACTTTGGTCCTAAGAGGTCGAATGCCTTGAGCATCGATAGTGTGTCCTAGGAAATCTAACGAGTCGGTTCCGAATTGGCATTTCTGAACGTTTACAGTAATGCCATGTTTTTGTAATCGTTCGAAAACAAGATCCAGATGCTTGAGATGTGATTCTCTGTCCAGACTTGCGATTAGGCAGTCATCAACATACTCATGTACGAAGTTGAGACCTCGAAAGACGTCGTCTATGAATCTTTGGAATGTTTGCGCAGCGTTTCTTAGACCGAACGGCATTCGCAAAAATTCATAGAGTCCGAAAGGAGTTATGATAGCTGTTTTCGGTATGTCGTTAGTAGCCATAGGGATTTGGTTATACGCTTTAACCAAGTCGATTTTCGAAAAGACAGTTGTACCTTTCAAGGTAGCTGTCAAATCGTGAATGTGAGGCAACGGGTAACGATCGGGAATGGTTTTTGCATTCAATCGCCGATAGTCACCAGTTGGACGCCAATCGTTGCTGTCCTTTTTAGGGACCATGTGCAACGGAGATGCATATGGGCTGTTTGACGGTCGTATGATTCCTAAGTCTATCATGTGATCGAATTCGTTTTTCGCTAACCTCAGCTTTTCCGGAGCTAGTCGTCGTGCTTTGGAGAATACAGGTGGTCCTGTAGTCGTGATGTGATGTGTAACATTGCTGGTTACACACGGTAGTTTCGGTTGAGTTTTCTGTATCCCAGGGTACTTGTCGAGTAGTGGTTGATAGAGTGGGTCTATCATATGCTTAACTGTGACTGGGGATAATCTACAACCAGAAAAAGAAGTTACACAAACGGATAAATTAGTGTTTCCATCTACTAGCCTCCGTTTGCGCGTGTCGATGATTAGATTATGGTGTTGTAGAAGATCCATACCAATGATTGGCATAGAAACATCTGCAACAACGAAAATCCAATGAATGGGTTTGCGTAAACCCACGTTCAGGTAGATGTACCTTTTGCCATACGTGGCGATCGGTTTTCCATTTGCCGCCTGTAAGTTTAGAGTTGATTCGTGGAGCCGGTCGTTATGATTTGCTGGGAGAACGCTAACTTCTGCGCCAGTGTCGACGAGGTAGCGAACTCTCGTTGTCACATCTGTGACGTACAACAGACGGCTATGTTCGCCGGCTACGGTTGCCGTTAACGCGTGCCGGCTTAGAAGTTTCCCGAGTTGTTTTTCGAGTCAGTCGTTTTCGTGTTGGGGAAATTGCAGGGTTTTTTGCAATTTCTGGAAGATTTTCCATACTGGTTATGATACTAGCACCAGTCAGGGTTATCCGTCTCTCGTGGTCTAGAGACAGATCGTTTACGCGAAATGCTTCTACGTGGACTGCGTGAGCGACTACGGTCGTTACGAAGATTAAGATAACGCGTGAGTGTATGACATAATTCGGTTATGTCATTCTGAGTCGTGTGAGGTTTTCTTTGACTGAAAATACCTCTGAAGTAGACGATTTCGTTATTTCTAAAATACGATCGGCAGATGCAGCTAGCTCGTCTAAGGCGTTGTTCTGAAACGAGACCAGAACCGCTTGCACCTGTTGAGGAAGTTTAGACAAGAAAAGTTGTTTAAATAGACCTTCGTCGAAAGTTCTTAGGCCTAGCACTTCTCTCATTCGTTGCAACATGTCAGTCGCAGAACCGTGTTGCAGGTCGATGTTATTGAAGAGTTGATCTAACCTTTGTCGATCGGTTAGGTCTCCTCGTTTAAGAATCGAACGTTTCAAGATTTCGTAAGGATCGAAAACATCACTAGTAAACATACTAGCTGTTACGTACCTGTTGAATTCGCGCGGTAGTGCCTTGACTACTGCGAGGAATTGTGCACGTGTGTCGATCACGCCGTGCTCGGAGAAGTCAGCTTCTGCGTAGCAGAACCAGGCTTCGATATTGTCGGGCCAGAAAGACATGAGTTGAAACGAAGGCGGGGACAAAGTCTTAAGCTTGAGTATTTTGGGTGTCTGTTCAGCCATGATGAAATATGAAGTACGATAATGAACGAGGGGAAAAAATATATATATATCCAAGGAAAAACACGAAAAAAATCACAATGTTTAAAAAAAATTAAGGTAATAATATATAAAAAAATCCCAAAAAGGAACAGACTCACAGTTGCAATTAGGTGTACCAGATCACGACGGTCTCACCAATGAGGATGATACAGGTATTCAGTGTTTGACAACGCTTCTACCAGTAACACCTTCTAATATGCTTTGTTCCCACCGAGAGAAATCAAAAGACAGAGTCGAGGAGATCGGAAGAGTGTATTTGGCGATAACCAATATATCGGGAATCTCTGATCTAATCTGGCTAGTGATTGTGGTTGATGTTGAGCACAGCGTGACAGCACGTGATCTGGTGCGGATGCATGACCGAGCGCCTTCAGCTAGATGAGTCCACTAAAACATATGGTCAGCATCCAATGTCGAAAACCTACAGAGCTATTTAGTTTGGGGATTTAGTTACCGCTACAGTATAGAAACGTTTATGGCCTTTTGTCATCTACAACACGTTCAATAAACAACATAGTTAATAATATTATTATCAAAAGCACATTGTTCGGTTTTTTATAAGTCTTATCTCAATTTATGATTGTAAAATAATATGAAATAAATAAAATCACTATGATATTTGTATCAACTAATGATTCTTTTGTATTTGATGACTCCTTGAATTCGAATTCTAAATACAATATGTTCGTTTGTGTTTATTTAATACTTGTTAAGTTTTTCGCACATTGTTCCTACTCTCACCCTTTCCACTCCTTTGTGTATTGTTTTATACTACTTATTCACATTCAGTAAGCAGTTGTATTCCCAACACTTTTTACACTTATGTTGTAACGCAAGTTGTAGTGTAATATTCTGAAATGTTCACATATACTTATAACGTTTATTGTACTTATCATTGTATTTATCATTTTAATTATTATACCTTAATCACTGCAGCGATTATCCACAGTTTCATGCATTTATTTAAATGCACCAGTTTCCATATTGTTTTGCTCTTAGTTCGGGTTTCGATTGCTCATAAACTGTTATCGAATTTAAACAGCTATTAGCTGTCATTTGTACTATCTTATGTTGCAATTATTCTTTATGTTACTGTTACAGAAAGCCTTCTTATTTCATATTGGAAGGACGCATTTGAATGCCCCAGATATCTCACAAGTTGAGGTTTGTAACTAAATTTTGTGTATTATTCAATAAAGAACCGCTATTGTAGACAAATCGTTGTTTTGGAAACTTCGGTTTCGCGCGTATCGCAATCGGGTGACTTGAACGATTCGATAGATCTAACAGTACTTCTTGATGAAGTTGTGTTATTTCTGGGATTTTCAGATTGTACTTTAATTTAAGTACATCTAATCATCACAGTCATATTCATTGCGATTTAAACGTTTAGTGGATGTTTCTGAAAGGGTTTCAATTTCACACTTATTAGACTTAATTTCATTAAATCTCCTATCTGTATCTGAATACATTTTTTGCTCAAACGAACACTAGTCTTCTTTGACCTCTTCAGTTAAACTCTGATATTACTTGCCTACTTAAATCCGTTACTGCTAATGAAGTTTAGGCCGTCGAACAGCATTCCCCAACCCACTGTGTCATGAACCTTCCTTTCTAGTTCTATCTAATTATTGTTCATTCTTCTCATGTCTGTCTGCATTTCTCGGCGTAATGTGTGCTTTGATTTGAGGATTCCAGGTGAGAGCTTGCCTTGTGAAGCAGTTCGATGCTTTCCTCAATATGTGTCCTATCCACTTCTAGCACTTATTCCTGACTTCTTCCTCCACTGCGATCTGGTTTGTTCTCTTCCAAAATAGGTTGTTGATGATAGTGTGTGGTATTTTGCGTAGAAAATTTTTATCAAACATTTGGATCATCTGGAAGATTACTCTCGTAGTTCTGCAGGTTTCCGTCTCATACAGTAGAACCGTCTTGACACTTATATTGCAAATTGTGAATTTGGTGTTGGTTGAGAGTTATTTTGAGTTCCGGACGTCCTTCAGTTGCAAATATTCTGCTCTTCCTTTACATATTTGCACATTCACATCTACATAATATCCACTGTGTTCATCAATCATGCTGCTCAGTTATTCTTATGAAGGAGGAATAAAGAAGCCCAGACAACTACGAAAGCCATTTTCTTGGGACGTTGATTCATTTCAGTCAAACCCTGTAACACACTTATATTTATTTTTGTCCCTATCTTGTTCTACATAACATGAGCTTTCGTTCTATGTATCATTCACTACCGTACCCTTTTTTGTTCTGAAAATATTGTAATTTAAACACAATATTTTGCACCGTATTTTCTACCCTAATTCCCAGTTTCGGACATAACTATATTTTTCCAAATTATCGTACGTCGTGGTCAAGATATTCACTTGTTTATTCATGTACATTTTTGTACTAATCCGAATTCAGATAATCCAGAGTTCAGTGTTCCAACTGTCTTCTCTCACTTGCGTGCTTGCCAACCAATCAGGTTCTAGAATAGTTCTCTCTACCCCATCTCGAACTAACGCGTACTAGACTCAAGGTTAAGCCGCTCAGCCTATCGCGTCAAGGTCGTAATCTAGACTAGACAGACCAAGGTCAAGTCATAACAAGTATCAACAGGGTAAAAGCCATTCAAGGTTATACCAATTATGTAAAGGCTTTTATATCCTCCAAACGTCTCTGTCTAGTGTGATTTGATTTGTGCATTGTGTTTAATCGAAGATTCTTGCTTCTCTCTGTGTGTATGTTGAGACGCAGTGCTGTTGAGGCTGCTGCTACACTGATCGTTTTCTCCTGTATGTTTTATTACGAATAGCCAGATCATCTGTGAAGTTCAGTTCGTCCAGCTGAATATTTGTTGTCCACTGCATCCCATGCCTCCCCCACCAGAAACTCTGATATAGATCATTTAAATAATATCGACAACACTAGTGGAAACTAAAAATTTTTTTGTAATGCATTCCTGTCTCATTTCTGTCATACTAAATAATAAGCGATTATTTGTAATATGAATCAAACGTGGTTGAGAATAAAGCATGCCAATATCTTCTTAATAGTTTTCCATTGCATTCTTTACGAGATTGACGTAATCCATTCTTAACCGAAATTATTTCATTTTGATGAAATTAGAGAAAAAAATATGTAATGATTTTCATCAAATACCATGGTTATGCATTTATTTATGAACTGGGCAACATTTCTCAGTGGAACTGTAATCTATGGACGACCTTTGATTGATGCTAGATTGATCTTGAGTGTCACATACCTACTTACATACGCATATTATTTCTCGTAGAGGAGAATAGGACGCCCACCAACGCTCTCCATCCTACTCTGTTCAGAGCAATCCTTTCCGGCACTTAACAATTGTTATTCGTCCTTTCCATAGCTGCTACTATGTCTCTACTGCATGTGTTCTTTGGCCTTCTACTTTTCCACTTCTCTTCATGATTCCAAGTTAGGGCTTGCTCCGTTATGCAATTTGGTGATTTCCGTAATATATGTTCTATCCATTTCTATCGTCTTTCCCTAATTTTATCTTCTACTGGAATGTGGCTTGTTCTCTCAAACAATAGGCTGTCGCTGATGGTGTCCGGCCACTGGATGTTGAGTATCTTGCGTGGACAACTATCTATACATAGTTGTCCACCTAATGATGCTCACCCAATTAGCGATACCAAATGTGGGTTTTATACCTGTGTGAGAATTTAGCGTTATGATTTACAGTTGATGACTAAGGTTAGAAATTAGATTAAGGTTTGTAATCACCAACCTACATCAGCTTTAATGCCAAAACTTTGTTGATCCAAATAGATCAGTGAATTCCACGCGAAAATTCGATTCCTAATATCTTATACGTGATTGGTTCGTCCATAAATTATAGTCTCGTCGGATTGTTTGTGCCACTCACAATATTATGAATTTGAACAGGCGAGATGTTATAGAAATTTAACGTATCAATTGATGTTTGTACATTTTTACAGAAAGTAAGTTTTATGGTTGTTTATTCAGAGTTATTGTAGTGAATGTGGTTTACCTATCCTGGACTTCCAGACAGTGGAAATAAGTATGAATGAGTTTAACAGTGAATTAGCTGTTAAGATATTCGCGTTTCAATCAGTTGGTCTACTATTTGGAAACCTTTCCACCTAACTTGTTTTCAAAGCCGGATATTAGCAAAAGTTCTCAAGAAAACAACGTTGCTAAAAGTCAAGAATGTCAACCTATGTTTGATTAATGCCGTTAACCAAATTATTCTTCAAACATGACCATAGGATAATGTCACTGATTTTCATTCAGTATTACTCAAATTGAAATAAATGTCTTCGAAGCATCACTCGTGTATTTTAGAACCATCAATTAAGCAATGCATAGTTAAGGAATATGTCACGGGGTTAAGATGACTGGTCGACTAATGAGGTAGAGAGTCTTAAACAACTGGCTTGGTTAGGATATGTGTTACGTTTACTCAACCTCAACCTATCTTGTCAGGCGATGTTGACTGGTGTAAAAATTGAATGAAAAAAGTCAGAGACTGCTAAATCGAATTGAGGAACCAAATCATAGAGTCATTGAGAAGTAAGCCAAGCCATGTTAACAGGTGTAGATTTACTGGTTAAAGTCCACATGGTCATCGTAACCAGCTATTTGAGACCTTAAATGATATAGATCAAAACAGCTTGCAATGATGCATGTGCATCCACACTTTATATACCCCAAACTCTTAGCTCCTGAACTCTCTAACTCATTTTTGTTTCACTAACATAAATGTTCTTGTATTGTGTCTGATATTTTTACTCATCACTCATACTGTTATTACATCTGCTTTTCTGGGATTTGGGCTGACACTTTCATCTCATAGATAATATGGTATGAAAACTTGGACCGATATACATACGTATCATGTTCCACATTACGATTAACTGACTTGTGTTACAGCTGTTCATCCTAATTAGTTATACTAAACTCACACGGGAAAAGACTAATGAAGGGAATAAATTTATGCTTAGAGTTACTAGCTTATTTACTTATACCTGTCATCCCTCGTGAAGGAGCATATTTAGTTATAAAATAAAAAAACAAAGAGTGCAATAAGCAAAATTATCATTTTTTTAATGAGATCATGAACTGATAGATGCTAGACCACCATGGAAAATCTGGAAGTACTGGACAACCGTTCCCCAAAGTTGTCTGGGGATTGTTTTGCTGTGAAATTTTGCGGTTCGAAAACCCTGAAGTAGGATGTTCCTTTCATTGTTTCTTCGCGCTCACATATTTCTACTTCTGGCGTTCGTCTCTCAATAAGATCGACCAGGCTGAGTTATTTACGGACGTATATTACAAATCCAACGAGTTTGCGTGAGTATCTCAGTATCAGGACGTTTTCTTTAGCCAAAGCAAATGTAAGCTTGAATTGGCGGTATTCTTAGTACTTTCTGGATCCATAATTTGTTCTATTTCATAAAGTTTACTGACGCCTTCTCCTGTAGCTTGTTCGGGGAGTAGCTTGCGTAGAAACAACTTTATGCGGCTGAAGGATTTTCCTAAATTATAAAAAATTGTCTGACCTATCAGCAAGGTCCGCCTATACACGCAATGGAAATCTCCACACTGTAGTTTGATTTGGCGTCAAGCGCAAAGGTTTCACCATGTCTCCTTACGTTTCATTTTATGGATGTGACTGTAAGCCAATAATTTACCTTATTATGTCTCTTGATCACATCATATACACCGATCAGTCTTTGTTCCCCAAAGTCTATTTTGCGTTGATATGTGGATCAAGGACTGAGACCGTAGTGCTGCCTACAATTTGATTCTTCTCAGCGTGCTTCTTCTTGTTCTTTATAAAAATGCCCATATCTGTGTACCTGTTATCCACGACTGTAATGGGATGATCACATTCAAATGCAAAGCCGTGCTTATAATTACATCTGCTTTTTCGGCTCCTTTACTGCTGTCTGTTTATGTGAAGACACTTTTTTTATCTATGTTCAGCAGACAGATCGCTTCAAGAATCAGCAGAACAGTATGCTATGCATAGTCAACGAGACTGCATTGCAGCACCATTTATGTGCAACCAGTGTGCGTCCAGTGCATGCATTGCGATACCATGTATTGCAGTTGCCACATTGCATTCCATCATCGACCAGGAAATAACATGCGGATCCGTTACGACAGTGTTTTGCTTGCGCAATAAAATCGCTTCGTGATCTCACAAGAAA